CGGGAACCCCATTTTAAGTGTTTAGCATTAAAATTTCCGCCTACTAGTAACCTAGATCCAAGCAGCTGAAAAAATGAAATGTACATATCCTTCGAGATACTGTGGCGCGGTGGGCTGTAGAGTGATGAGAAAGTCATGTCGCCTTCTTTAGTTTGTACGACAATGTTTGTTGCCTGAATTTCATTCGGCAAAAAGGTTGTACTTCATAATGTTTTATCGATTTCTTTATGAGGACCGCAGAGCCACCATTTCGTTTACCATTGGGATGCATTGTGTGATAAAGTACTTAGTTCGGAATTTCAAAGAAACTACGAGTCGTGAAATGGGTTTCTGATATCAGCATTATGTCGACCTGATTTATTTTTAAGAATGCTTTTATTACGACAGTATGTTTTGACAGACCACTGGCGTTTTATATGACTACGACTAAATTAAGAATTTTGTTTAGTCGTCAAGTTGATTAGTAAATTTGTCATTACTACGATTTGTTGCATCATTTGCTTCCACAGTGATGTCATCTCACGGAATTCTTTCACAAAATTAATTGGAATTGGTGAAAGCTTCTCCTCTGTTTGACTACTGGTGTCTGACTTCACCATTTGTGCGAATATTTGTTGTTTAGAGAATGATGATTTTTGTTTAGAGAAAAAAGAGGATATTGAATTTGCACTTCCGGCGCCCTAGGCCTCAGTTGGGGATACATTTTTTTTACAGGTTTTTGTATATTTGTCATCCTTGTAGTTGGCCGGATGATTTCTCTCACATAAAACATATTTGACATCATTGGATCTGCTTTTCCTTTCGCAATTTACAGATGCATGGTTTCCAGCGCACCTGATGCATTTGGGTTTGCGGTGACAGTATCCTTTCGTGTGCCCATACGTTTCGGGTGAGGTGGTTCAAATGTAACTGTAGTATATAAGAGTTTCTTAACCAAATAGATATCCTTATTGTTTAGGTTTGATGCAAGTTCAATAATAAACATGGGAAGAGGTTCTCCTGACCCTCTACGCTTAATGTTCCAAACGTTTACAGCCGTATGTTCTTGCTCCAGAAGTGCATTTTTGATTTCATCAATATCGGTTGAGTGATGCAAATTTTTTAATATAATCCTTAAGCTTCTCTCGGTTTTTGGTTTGTAAGTGTAAAATTCAGTGTTTTTGAGCTCCAACTGTTTTACATTGCTTACGTAAAAGTCAGATGTAGAAGGTTGAATTCTTACTTGACTTGGATTTAGTACTTTTAAGTTGAATTGATTCGGTTCATGTTCGTTTAACACATATATTAGAGGCATGATGCAATATACCTCATCAATAACGATAGATGGATGTTTCAGTATTTTTGGAACCGTATCATTATTTTTTAACAATTCTTCAGTTTCTTTAGAGACATCTACCTGAAGATCTGTGTATCGGTTTGGTTTGACGTGTTCATTTAGCCAGTATGAGTCTAGCTTGTTTGATAATTTTTACTTGGCCTATCGCGTTGACGTTTACGATTATTAACTATTGTCCAAGTGTCGTTAACAGAGGTAGCGTTTCTGGTGGCTACACCTTGATTCGATTCTTTGTCTTGGAGGAGTTTATTTTTTTCTTCATTATACAATTTTTGAAACTGTTGTTGAAGCTGTAGAATTTGTTGTTGTATATTTTTCACCTGAACTGCTTTACCTGTTTTCTGTTTTAGATGACCCGAAGTCGCATTGCTGGGTGCCTGTTTTTCACAGATTCCTTTTATTTATGGTCTATTGTTCAAATGATCATAATTT